GGGGTCAGCAGGGTCAGCAGGGGGACCCCCAGTCGATGTTTTTGGCTTCGCTGAGCACGGGATCTCTGTTGCGACCGCTCAGCTCTGATGTTGTGTGAGGAAAGCAGCCACAGGTACAATGTAAACAAACGGATGTGGCTCTGTGCTGTGCCAATAAAACTTTATTCACAGAAGCAGGCACCCCCGAGTCCCAGCCCTGGCTGCAGGCCCCAGCACCCGTCCCCGGCCTGTCCCAGGGCGGCTCACCGGCCCTGCCTTCGCCCTCCCTGGTCCCCCTGCCAGCCGGGCCCTTCCCGCTCATTCTGCACAGGGCACAGCCTTTCTGCCCTCCCACGGCGCCTCCTCCCAAGCTCCCCCTCCCCCTCCCCAACACTCACTCCGCCTTATCCTCCCACCAGACCCACCTGCTCGAGAACAGGCACCAAGACCCCCGACCTCCGCCCCCAGGGCCTGGCCCCGGATGACCCTGTACGAACACCCATTCTCGATGCTCAGTCTGAACCCGCCAGTGACAGAACATCCCCTCTGGTGCAAACGGAGGAAACGCTAAGAATGGGACGCACCGCCCCGGCCGGCACGGCCCAGTGGTTAGAGTATTGGCCTGCACACCAAAGGGCCTCGGGTTCGAGTCCCGGTCAAGGGCACATACCTGGGTTACAGGTTCGATCCCCAGTCCCGGTCGGGGAGTGTGCGGGAGGCAACCGATCCATGTGTCTCTCTCACATCGATGTTTCTCTCTTACTCTCTCCGCCCCCACTTCCACTCTCTCAAAAAAAATAAATGGGAAAAATATTTTGTTGTGAGGATTAACAACAAAATATTCCATTAGCCTCTTTAATTTGCCAGTATTTTTCTGCTTTTTCTTCAGTGAGCGTTACGCTTTGTGTAATAAAATTGTTTTTAAAAACCAGTTAAACAAACAAGGGAACCCTTCGCTGGGTTACCCCGACTCCATCCCACCAACTCAAGTTTATTAGCGCTCGCCTTTAAGGCCCGTGGTCCAAATCCCCGTCCCCTCGGGCCCCTCCCAGCCCCGTGACCTCGAGCAGATCACGCACCGCCCCTGCCTCAGTTTCCTCATCTGCGCAATGGGGCCATGCCCACCTTCCAGCCGGGGAGGAGGCGTGAGTGAGCTCACACGTGCAGAGCGCTCAGCTCAGAGCCGGGCGCGGTGTACACGCTGCATGAGCCCTGGCTGATGGCCCGACCCCGAGGCCCCGGCTCCAGGCCTGGCAGTGAGGGGGGACCCAGCCCCCGCTCAGC